CCAGGGAATTCAAGGTGTGGAAGACTAACGCCGTGCCCCCGCCGGAGACCTACAGCCCGCCCGAGAAGAAGCCGCCGCCGGCCCCGGCCGTCGACATGGCCATAAAGTGGTCTAACATCTACGAGGACAACGGGGACGACGCGCCCCGGCAGGCCGGGAAAGCCAAGTTTCTGCCGGATGAGGAGCAGGAGCCCCTGGAATCGGGTGAGGTCCCGGCGTGAGGCGCCTGTGCTTTGCACAGGAGTGTGACCTTAGATGTAGATGTGGGTGCAGGTCAGATTATTAATTAAATAAAATGTCCATGTGACAGATTAATGAGGAAGATATTTACTATCCTCTTCACTTTTGATCGTGGTGCAAGCTGTAATGGTAATCTAGGAAGTAAAGAGCTGTTTGACAGGAGGGAGGAATTTTTTGGTTGTTTTTTTTTTAACTTGCTGGAAAAAGAGAATAGCCAAGACCAACCAAGACAGCAAAACCAGAACAAATAATTCTGGGCTTCCAGAACACACAGTGACGTTTTGATTTGGCAGTAAGCTTGTCAGCAGACATTTTTCAAAGGAAGGCTTTTCTGTGTTCTGGTGTTCCTCTCCCAGTGGCGGTTTTTCTGTCTCTGTCTTGCTCCACTTTTTCCGTATGCTTTTTTTTCCTCCCCTTCGCATTGCTCTTGGTCATCCTTCATCCAGAGACTAAGAAGATAAACCGAGAGTGGACCTTGGCATTATTTCCTGCTTCTGAAAAGTAACTTTTCTAGCGTTTTGGCTTATCTATTCAAATAGTAAGTTTTCTTAGAAAGTACTGTACATAACAAGACTTCCCCTTGGTTATCCTCAGTGGTCTATGGTGGTAATAACAAGTAACTGTTGCTATTCTGTCTACATAGTGTCCCCATTCCAAAAATGAGGACGTTGTCAGTTAATACTACTGTGTCTTCTTCCCAGGCATCTCGGATGTGGTTAAGTCAGTTGTTCTGAGACAATGATGGTGTTTAAGACAAATATTACTGGCTTTGCTGACTTTGATTAACTCTGTCTTTTATTTAAAGATGGTGAAAAGGAGGACGAACCAGCTTCTGCTAAGAAACGTAAACTAGACTCTGGGGAGCAGACGAGGAAGAAGAAGTTGTGAGCAGGATTTAGCCATAACGAGAATTTCAACAGACTTGGATTCCTCTGCTGGAATAGGAAACAAGTACATGTTTACCGAACTTCTCTCTCCCATTGGATAGGGAATTTTATTACTGTAGTATGCTTGCCTTTTGGAAAGCACAACGTGAAATGGACAGTGTTGTGATAGAAACTTGTCTACTGAACAAAACTTAACGTTGTTAATTTAAAAGAGGGATCCGTTGTGGTGGATGCTTGTGCTCGTGCAGGTTACAGGGCTTCGTGGTATTTTGTTTACCAAGAAACCTGGTAACGTGAGCTTTTCTGGACTGACTTTTCCATTGTGTCTAAACCTTTTATAAAGGAGTATATACTAAAGATTCTTTGAGTACTGTCCTGTGATTTGTTTGCATAGTGTTGTTTTGAAATGTATGTAAAGAGTGCAAATAGATCACCGGAATAAAACTACATTTGAAAATACCTGTGGTATAAATATTGCATTGAATGCTTGGTGAAGAGGAAGGATGAATTCTGTACCGTGTGCACTTCAGTGATGTATTTCTTACGGCACAACAGATGTCTCAGGGTTTTCTTTGTAATAAATGTACGGCTGCAAACAGAAAAAACACGGACCTAATAATCAAGTTTAATTTTTGATCATTAGTTTTATGTTCTGTGATCTGCATCAGTGAAACATGAGAGTAACTGATGCAGGAAGAATTGAAGCATTTAATGTGTTCTTTCTAGATATTTATGTGGAGAAACTTATGACAAAGCTGTGGTTGTCTTCACTGCCAAATGGTATTTATTTCAGCATAAACAGTTGGTAATCTCAAAGTGGTGGTCAGTTTATGTTGCGTTAGTGATGGGCTGCTGCATGGATTTTTGGGTCGTCATACGAAAAAGCACCAGCAGAAGTGAGTTGGAGTCATTAGGGTTGCTCAAGGTTTATTTTCAGATAAAGTTTTTGTGCCTCAGGAAACCTGTAGTGACATTAGGCCTACTAATAGGAGTTTCTGTAATTAAACTATTAATGTAAACATTCACCATTCTTACTTCCTTTCTCTCCTGAACTAGGTTTAATACGGCAGAAGTGATTCTGTATGCACGTGTGTTAATATTTTTAACAGTGATTGTTGTAAATAATTGGTTTGGACCTCTATGTATATGAGAATGTATTCATCTGTAGTGTATATGAAGTTAGCCACGGGTTGTGCAGTGCCGGCCCTGGCAGTGTGATGCTGCTTTCTCTGGATCCTTCTCTCCCTGCAGGCTCTGCAACCCCTCCTTACCCATTTCGCAGGCTGTTGGGCCAAATCCGTGATGAATTCCACCCCTTCTGTCTGGAAACCGTGCAGAAAATGGTGCTTGTGTACGGCTGAGGGATCTCTCCATGCCAGCTCTCCTAGCGCAGACCCTAATACCCAATGCTGCCATCGCGAGCTCCAAGAGGACACTGATGTAGTGTCAAATCTGTGTATGGTTTCTCAAAATAATGCTTCATTTTGGGTTGAGGAGTTTGGGCTGGAGCAGGGATTGGGGGAGCAGGGATTGGGGCAGCGCTGGCCTTGGGTCTGCAAGGGTACATCTCCCGCTCCGTGCTGAGTTCAGGCTGGGATGAAGGCCCCTTTTCAGCAGCCGTGCTTATCCCGTGCTGATGTGGAGGTTTGGCGAGCTGGACAGGCAGTGTGATGGTTCAGGAGCTGTGGCTGTCTGCAGTTTCTTGAGCTGAGGGACTGTAAATGCCTGTACTTCACTTTGTCTAGAGTCCTAGTGTAAATTCTTCCTCATTCTAGTAACTGTGTGTGAAACCAGTTCTCCTACAGGAATAGCTGTCTCCATGCAGGTAACGCAGCCTTGCACCACCCTCGGCGTGTGCGCTGTCACGAGGTGCTCAGGTAGCTGGTCTATGGCTCCTGGTCATCCAGGGTCAAATGGTGTCTGTGAGCTTTGCTTACAAGGAAATGACGGTTGTCTGTCTTCAGGTGCTGAATGTGAAGTCTGAGTGAAAAGGTTCACTCTTGCTTTTCTGTATCTGCCGTCCTCGTGTACCTAGGTTGAAGGTGCTCATCTTCAGAGAATATGGTAGAAAAAAAGACTGCTCATACTCTTTTCTTAACAGGAATGTGTTTATGGTGTAGCTGGCATGGAGAGCTGAGGGTGGGGAATAGCAGCAAGCTCCTGTTCAGGTATGAAAATCAGATGTCAGGTCAGTTTTCCAGAAGCTCAGTTTGTGTCCAGGCAGCAGACTGTAGGTTACGGTTTTTCTAGCAAGACACTGCTTGAGAAATAGGCTTCTGCTGTCCTATATGTGCAGAATTTATTCCAGGGTTATGTGGGAGGAATGGCATCATTGCTGCAATGTGAGGGGTTTGAGGTGCAGTACGTGGTGCTGCTGCAGCGCTCCTTGATGAGCCTTATGGCTGGAGAGTAATGTCACCATGACTGCACGGCCAAGGAGGCTTTGTGCTTGTGTTTGCTCTGCTGTTACACAGGGGGCTCAGGCAGCTACCATGCTAATCCCTCCTTTTGTTTTCAGATCATACACTTGGTGTCCAGTGGTCTTGGAGTTAACACCATCTGATACCCGGTTTCCAAGGAGAAAACCATCGTAGCTAATCAGGGAGGAGAATGATTAATTGTATTATTTACAGGTTGAGGAAATCTTCATTATAAGCAGTGATGGTGGCAGCTCCTTAATCGGGAGAAATGCCACATGTTGCCTTCTCTTTAGTGACACTTGAAACATGGCTGTGAGAAAGCCTCTCTGAAGCCGAGGTGTCTGGATGGACTTGTTCTGCTGCTGGTAGATTTTTTGGTAAGGATGCTTCAGTGTATCATCTTCAGAAGGCAACGATGAGAGAGTGTTGCAGGTTCTGAAAGCAAGACAGAGGATTTCTTGGGCATACAAAAAAGCCAAGAGCAGGAAGGGGACCAGCCTTTCTGAGTTCAGAGATAACAGCACATGCGTTTTATTGTAAGTAAATGAGATTGCATAAAACAAATGTTGTGTTCATATCATCAGTGATTTGTAATGCAAACAACTACAAGAGTCCCCAGAGTGGAAAAAATGCTGGGGTCCTAAAGAGAAATTCTGATGTAGGAGAAGAAAGATTCTGATATAAGAAAAATCAGTGGGGCTGCAGCCCAGAGCGCTTGTGTTGAGTGTCACTGGTGGGACTGCGCTCAGCCGTGGAGGCCAGGAGGTCGTGGGGCTCTTTGCTCAGCCACCTTTTCTGCCAGGGGATGGGCGCTGGGTCCTGCTTCCGAATGAGGGACTGCTGGTCGGTTTGTCACGTCTCGCCTCCATGCTTAGGTACAGAACCCGTCTGTGGGCAGCCAGCGGCTGGGGGGGCATGGATGGTGTCATGGATGTGCGACTTCTCCCAGAGTAAGGGAAACTGAGAGGAGCTGGTCCAGATTTGGTTCCTGGTGGACAGCAGTTGCAGGTGAGCTCTCTCCTTAAGGTATACAAAGAGTTTAGAGGTTGCAGGGTGATCTGCTCCATCTGCCTGCATAGGTGTCTGTGCTAGAGGAGAACCTGGGGCAGGACACTCGCAGTGTTCCCTGGTTTTGGTTTGTGATGGCCACTGTGGTGAGAGAAGGGCTGCAAAGACAGGAAGTGTTTTGAGTGATCAGCTTTGGTAGTGTGGTACTTACCGAGCAGTGTCTGCTTCTGTGGGGCAAAAAACACAGGCCTGTCACTGGTACAAAGAGGCTGTTTGAAAACACTGGACTGAGCTAGACAGAAGTAGCCTCGAGGAAGAAAAGGAGGGCAGCCCACTGATTTGGCCAAGGGTCTGTAAGGTCTTGTTCAGATACCATAAAGAGCTTCCAAGAGAAAGGGGCAATTGGCTAAATTATAAATGCTCATCTGGAGCTGGGCTTCTAGATCAAGATTGCTGGTAACGCGTCCATGGCATTCATAGCTATGGAGCTGTAAAATTACCAGCCATCGTTCAAGCTCCTCAGTAAGTCATTAGCACTACCAGGAAAGATGGGGTCGTGCTAAGCCTTGTGATTGTAGGAGTGTAACCAGCAGTCATAGTGGAAAAGGGATTCTGGTCTTCACATCCTCTTGGGATGATTGGAGGTGACACTCATTTACAAACCAAGAAACATTGGTCATGATGCAGGGCTGAAAGGAAGCAGATCAGGAAAGCATGAGAAATGAACAATGAGAAGATTTTCTCCCTTGTTTTGTAAGTAGGTGAGGGAAAGATTCTGAAGAAGCTGAAGGACGAAGCGTGGTGGACCGAGAAACAAAGGTGCATGTGTTCTTCTGGTTTGGGCAGCTAATGATAAAACATTGGCTGCTCTCTGCACCCGGATCTGCGAAATGCGTGGGTGAGCGCTTACTAAACTTAAATAGCTCAGATGTTCCAAATGTCTCTAACCAGAGAACAGTTTATCCTGGATTGCCTTTCAAAGGAGACGGTGACAGTGCACATACACCCCCGCCGACAAATGGGGAAGATTGGCTCTGAAAATTAGCCCTCTATTAACTCATCACTGTTGTTATGATGAATCAAACGTGATGATGATTACGTGCAATGGGGAAAGAAGGCAGTAAGAAATACCTGCAAGTCTGACCTGAGGAAATCCTTTTAAAAACTTGTTAAGATTAGAAAAGCAGTTGCTGGAAAGCAATTAATTAGCAACAAGCACATTGTGCCAGCATCTGGAGGTAGCACAGTAGCAGCTACATAACATAGATTTCCAGAAAGGCAGGAGGATCTGGAAAAGAAGAATTCACATCAGTATGGAAATACAGCTGTTGAGGGCAATGGTGGTCATGGCAGGCAGGGCCTCCCCCAAAATGCTGATGGAGAGGGTGCTGCGAGCGCCCGTCTGTCGGTCTCTTGCTGCACACCAGCGCTATTGAAGAGCTGGTTCATTTACAGATGGTTTGTGATAAGCTTGAGGCTGCCGCTCTGAAATGGAATCCGGGGGGATGCACCGTGTTCCACCAAGGGTAATTTGTCACCAGCCTGTAATCGGTGTGGGAGGAGGGGTTTTTTT